GGTCCTCTTCATGAAAGTCTTCAGCTGCACTTACGGTTGCCTCAAATGTTCTGCATTAACTCAGAATGTTTACTTCTCATGATCATTTTGACTTTGAACAAGAGTGAGAAGTCACATGGCACCAGATCTGGTGACTAAAATGGATAAAGACACCGCATCGGGATATTTTGTGAGCCTGCCTTTATACTGGACAGCATACAGCAGCAGCATTCACCATACTTTTTAATCATACCTGGTAAAGACATTGACAAAAGAGGACTTCCACAACCACATCAGAAAGTGGAAGGAGAGCCGGCAAGTCAGCTCAGTGGACTAAGCGCCTGCATAGGTAAGCACACGAACCAGGGTTCAATCCTGATACCACATGCTGCACTGGCCCCACCCCAGGCACCCTGAGCAGGCCACCCAGACCTGTAATAACAACGCTGGGGAGGCTGAAAACAGGAGGATCACCTCGAGTCTGAGCTGCGTAGTGAGACCCTGTATCAATACATGTTTAAAAAAAAAAAGAGAAAGAAAATGGACAGAACAATAGCATAAGTATGTTAAAAGCAAGGGTTAGTACTTTGAGGGGCATTAATGGCAATACATCCTAGACTGTTCTTTTTAATTTTTTTTTCTCCAAATGCCTTCAGGGCAGGTTTGGCTGGCTGGAGTGTTGTGGGGATCGAACTACAGCAACCTGAGGCTGACAGCTTTGTGGAAGCAGCCACTTAAAGGACTGAGCTAGGGCCAGGCCCCCAAGACTCTTCTAATTTAAACATTTACCTTATATTTTGATATCTAGTACATGAAAAGATGCTTAATGTCATCAGCCATCAGGGAAATATAAATAAAATGCTAATAACACCGCTTCATACATACTAAGATAGTTACAACAAAAAAGACCAATAACAAATGTTTTTTCTGGGGCCAGGAAGGTGGCTCAATGGAATAAGTGCTACCCTGGCAAGTGCAAGAGGCTGAGTTCAATCCCCGGTTCCGCTAAAAAAAAAAAAAAAAAGTTTTTCTGGAAAAATCTGATCACAACATAAGAAAACTACGCAAGTTTACATGGGATGGAAAAAGAGGCAGACAAAGCCAAGAACAGAGAACTGTTTATTTGGACTTATTGGCAGAAGTGTGGTCAAGGGTGGCAACAATACCAGTGAGTTCCCATGGTTTGGGTCAGGTGGATTATACAGTGGTTAAGGTAAAAGTGACTTCACCTAAGCTGGAATGTATTTCATTTACCTCAAAGACACTATGCATATTCCTGATCTTGGTGGTGTCAGGTGTTCAGAAAGTTCCAGACACTACTCTAATGGTTTTGTTTACTTATAGTATATCTGTAAACTATTAGAGAGAGGGTACCATGCTTACTCAGGGACAATCATAGTATTATGACCCAAGATGGCTGTACACAGGTCAAGCTGGGTCCCTACAGTTGGCAAGATATCGAGAAATAGGAACTTTCATATACTGTTTGTGGAAATGTAAAATGGGGGGGGGGCTGGTGAAATGGCTCAGTGGTCTAAAGCACCTACTTAGAACAAGCTTAAAGCACAGGGACCGTGGTTCAATCCCCCAAAACCACATGCCAGCCAGCCCCGCCCCCTGGTGGGCTGAGCTGGCCACACACACACACAAATAAATAAAAATTTAAAAAAAAAAAAAGAAATGTAAAATGGGGTACCTGCCTTGGAAAATATACAGCAGTTCCTCGAAGGGCTAAGCATACAGTAACCATATAATCCAGAAATCCCCCCATATAATCCTGAAATGCCCACATTTTCCAAATGAACATATCCAAGAGGAATGACAATATAAACCCACATAAATTTGTAAACAAACAGTAATAGCAGTTACTCAGCCATAAAAAGAATGAAGTCCTGATACACGCTATAACATGAATGAGCGTTTGACTCATTACGCTAGGTTAAAGGAACCAATCACAAAAGACCACAGGCAAATCTACAGAGACAGAAGGTAGATTCCGGTTTTCTCAGCCTGGAGACTGAGAAGTTGGGAGGATACTGGCTAAAAGGCCAAGTATCTTGGGGAGATGATTAAATGTTCTAAACTTTATCGGGATAATGGCTGCAGACCACTGACTCATACACTTTAAACATGCAAACCATGTAGTCTGAAAATTAGATCCCAAGAAAGCTGTTACAAAACAAACAAAAAAGACATTTCTCCTCCTTCATAAGGCTTCTGGTGTTCTAATAAAACTGTCTTCACTCTTCCCCTATAGACCTGGATACCCACAGTTGGTAATTCTTTACACTTACCTGTTCACATGCCTGTTTTTTCTGCTTAACTGTGGGCTCCTTGTGGCAGGGGCTGAGTTCATTTCTCTTGGGATGGCAGGGTCTATACACTGTGTATACCACACACACGACAGGGTACAGCATCACTAGTTAAGATTATCTTTTGTGTGTGTGTGTGTGTGTGTGTGTGTGTGTGTGGAATCGGGGATTGAACTCAGACCCTTATGCTTGTCAGGAAAGTGCTTATTCCACTGAGCCATCTTCCCGACCCCAAGATTATCTTAAAAGTCGTCACATGGAAAGGGGGCTCTACTTGTTTAACGTTCCCCAGTGGGTAACACAGAAGGGTCATAACAGGAGCTGCCACTCTGGATTTCTGGATCCTGTGATTTCTCTGAATTTGCATTCAAGTTTTGGGTTATATGTATAAATGGTATGTATATTTTTCTAGAGAGAACATTTATAGCTTGTATCAGAGTTTACATAACCCCCAAATGGTCAGGATTCATGGCTTTTAAAATGTCATTGCGTGTCTCAGTTACTTTTCTCTTGTTGCTGGGAAAAATACCCAACACCCAAAATGAAGGAAGTTAAGGTTTATTTAGCTCACAGTTACTGGCGGTTTCAGTCCACACGTGGCTGGCTCCAAGGCAGAGCGGCCCAGGGCAGGGAGCATCCAGTTCATGGCGGCGGAACAACAACAATGGCAACAGAGAGTCTGTCTCTCTGTTTCTCTTATATTGCAATCAGGCTCTCTGCCTCAGGCTGGAGGAAGTACACAAACCCATAATACCAGCAGTTCTATAATCCATAATCCCAGCCTTGGATCACCCATAATCCCTGTGGATCATGAGTTAATCACAAACTCTAGAAATCCCCATGAATGCATGAGACTTTGGGGGGACAACTAGATACAAATCATAACATTGTGCTAGGGTAGAGATTTCAATGAGCAAACTTTAATTACTGGACTCTACTATCCAAAGTAGTCCCTTGCCTACAGTACACCACTTCAATCACTCATAGTGTTGGGCCTGGGAGATAGCTCAGTAGAATAAATGCTTGCTTGGCAAGCGCAAAGGCCTGAGTTCAATTCCCGGGTCCTCCCCCCACCAAAAAATAAATAAATAAATAAAATAACTCATAGTGTAACAAGCAAATTTCGTAATCTCAAATGTGTTCAACTGTAAGTATTTGTTGACTGCCCACTATATGCCAGGTGCTAGCAATAAAACAAGGAAGACAAAGTCTCTGCTGTTATAAAGCTTCCATTCTGAAGTGGACGTCAGACACACACACACACACACACACACACAAAGAAACAACTAGGAAAATTTTATCCCATTTATGATACCAATAATGAGGAAACTAAAATATAATGGAATCAGGAACAAGAGGGGAGGAGTTATTTTAGTTGGGGCTATCAGTGAATCTAAGGAGGTTACCTGTGCGCAGAAAACTGAATGAGAAGGAAGGTGAAAGAAGAGCACTCCAAGAATTTTTTATTCAAGAATAAAGAATGGCGCCAATATCCTAAATTGAGAACACTGAACACAGTACTAGCACCTGGGTGCTCAAGGGTGGCAGCCACGTCTAATGCCCACTCTACACCCTCAACAACACTCACAAGACTCTCTCCCATCCCATTCAATAGGACTTGTTCAACACTGTTTATCATAATGGGACTTCAGCTCAGTAAAAAATCACTTTAAGAGGAAAAATTGCTTTTCACTGCTCAGGATCATCATGAATTTACTCTTCCTCAAGGTAAGTCATGTGGTTAGACAACGAGTAAAAACCTTTTGGATTCTGCAATAAGACTAAAAGAAAAAAGTGAAAAGTAATTAAAGACATTGTAGAAGTCTCTTCCGGTCCTACAAGCATAACGTTAATCAAATCCTATTTAAGAAATCTCCTCCAGATAATCTTGCAAGCGTTAATTTTATTAACTCCAATCTGCCCACCACCCCTAGAGACTGACACTTTGCATTTATAGTATTTATAATCGAGGAGCATCCAACCACAGCTGACAGGCACAAGAAGGAAGAGAATTACAGTTCATAGGGAGCTGTCCAGCAATCATCAGGTGGAACACGAAGAAGTGTTCAGAGACTGCAATCGCGTCTCAAAGACGGTATGAGGATAATTTACAGGAGAAAGTGGCCTACAGAACTTGGTGGCCGATTGTTCTGGTCCCTCCTGTCAGCCTTCAGCATCCATACCTTGACAATGATTCTGTTAGAAACAAAACCCTGAAAGCGATGGAAAGGTGGATTTTTAAATATCACAGTGAGTCAACTGCAAAAGATTCACAGATAAATATGAACGCGGTGGGATTGGAGTGCTCTGTTCCTCTTTACCTTAGGAACTGAAACTCGGGTTACTAAGACCTTCTAAGTTACATTTTGAAAGGCGCTGGTGCCCGCGCTTGTAGATGCACACAGCCTGGAGCAGTGCGTGCCCCGCAGCAAGCTGCCGACACTACGCAGAGAATTAAGGCTAATAATACCGATCCCAGCTGGCTTAATTACACGCAAAACACGACAGAAAGCGCCCAGAAACTCTAAAAAAGGGGAGCCGTTGCGATTCCGATGAACAGATGGTGAGAAGGTGAGTGTTCTGCGGGACCCGGACAGGTGCGGCTGGGCCACCCTCCGCCCGCCGGGGTCGCCTCCTCTCCCGCCCCCGCCAGCGGCCCTGCCGAGGCCCGCCTCACCCGCCAGCACGGCGCTCGCCGCCTCCTCTTACCTCCGGGCGCCGGGGGCGGCGGCGGCTGCTTCCCGCGGGACAGGAAGGCTTTGGGCAGCAGCAGCGACGCGGCCAGGACGAGCCCCGAGGCCAGGGCCACCCTCTGCACCGTGGAGTACGCCATAGCTGCTCAGCGCTGCACCTCGCCGGCGCCGCCCCAGGCGCCGAGCCCAACCTCGGAGGAACCGGAACCGGAACCGGAACTGGAAGAACGGCGCGGGCGCCCGCTCGCTGCCGAACCGGGATGCGAGGACGGCGTCGCGCGAGGGACATGCTGCGCTGGAGTCGCTGCCTCCACCTCCGCGGTTGGGGGACCATCGGCTGCTCCGCAGAGGTTACCCGTGTCTGGAACTTGCTCTCATTTACAGCACATCCCAACCTTGTCCTTGTGTGGCCACCACCTCTCACCGCATGCATTTGGCACTATTTCCCACCACACGCCTCAAAAAACTAAAATTAAAGAAACAAAATGAGTAAACTACGAGACTAAAGAGTAGGAAATAGAACAGCAGACGAGCGATGCTAAATACGTATTAAGATGCACAGCAACATGGTCCAATTGAAACAATATCAACCACATAGGTAATATAGAATCTTCGTTGCTGTAGTTTTAAAAAGTAAAAGTAGACAAGGTTGGCTTAAATAATATTCTTATTTCGACCAGTACACCCAAAATATCACCACTGCAAAGTGTGTTGTGCTAGTCCGTCAGTGACTCAGTAGCCCTTTGAAGCTTGTCGACTACCATATTGGATCATGAAGGTGTAAAGCATGAAAAGTTGAGTGACACGGAAGGAAAGTCTGTAAGAAGCAAACTAATTCACATGTAAGAACCTAAAAGGCTTGGGATTCGGAGGGATTGATTTTCTTTAAAGGCAGGGATGTAAAATAGGGCTGAATAACAAAGGGTTGGCTGAAAGTCTAGTTAAGAAGCAGGTGATGTCCTTCAAATCTCCTTCCCCGCTATACAGCAGCTTGTACTCCTAGTGGTCTTCCTGTTTTAGCCTCCCCAGTGCTGGGATTACAGGCATGCACCACCACACTCAGTTTCAGTGGCCAGCAGGGGTCAGTATAGCTTGTGGTACCTGGGGTCAAACCCAGATCCTTGAGCTTGCCAGGCAGGCGCTTACACTGCCGAGCTATCTCCCCAGCCCCTAGCTAGAGTCATATTCATTGTTGCAGGCAGGTGGAGTGTGGGGCTGGAAGATATAGGAACCTCCTTAGGGACATAGCTATTGGACAGCTTAAGTGTTGGCTTGGCTGCTCTCTTTGGTGACTTGATGTCATGGTCCTAGAAGCAGATGATCATTCAAAACCTCTTTAAAAACTCAGATCTTATCCTCAAAGGAGGGGCTTAGTTTTTCAAATAAAATATTGGAGAACTGGGATTAGAATCTGACAGCTGTAGACTAAACAATGAGCAAAAAATAAGAAAGTAGAGATAACAAGCACAACCCACTTAGTATGAAATGTGCATAAAAGAAGAAAGGCTTAAAGGTACGATGAGGGCTGGGGAGATACCTGAGGGGTGTAAGCACCTGCCTGGCCAGCACAAAGACCCAGGTTTGATCCCCAGTACCTGACATGCTGTGCTGGCCACTGAAATCAGGCAGGTATCGGCCCCAGAACACAAACCAGGCATGGTGGTGCATGCCTGTAATCCCAGCACTGGGGAGATTGAGACGGGGGATCACTATAAGTCCAAGCTGCATAGTGAGACCCTGTAGCAAATAAATAAATAATTTTTAAAAATAAAAGTACAGTGACAACCAGAGAGAGTCTAAGGTTGAAGAAATATTGTTCTTTCCTAAGGGAAGAGACAAGTATGTGTATACACTATGAGGGAAAATAGCAGAAAAAAGGAGGCGGAAAATATATGACCTTGGGGCCGGGGAGATGGCTCAGTAGGATAAGTGCTTGACTGGCAAACGCAAGGATCTGAGTTCAATCCCCGGTTCCGCCAAAAAAAAAAAAAAAAAGAAGAAAAAAAGAAAATATATGACCATGGGAGATCAGTGTCAAAGCAAAGCCCAGATCTGGGGCAGACATGAGGACAGACATTGAAAAACCAGTAGCAAGGGTCAGTTCAGAAGAAAGGAAATAGTTCAAGTACATATTTAAAAAGTTGTGTAGAGATGACAAATCAAGGAAGTTTTTTTCTCATCATGTCAGTCTTATTAGTAAAAGAATGTATTCAGTCCCATTATTTGAGAAAGAGCATGGCAGAATAGAGTGAACCCTTTCTGGTTCTTGTCTCAGTCCCAGAAGTTTATATTTGTAATCCCATGGATAAATTATTGGAATTCCATTAAGTTAATTCCAAGCTACTAATTTGAGTGTAACCCTCGGTGAAAATAAGGACACTAAGACATATAGTAGTTTGATCCCCAGTACCTGGCATGCTGTGCTAGCCACTGAAACCAGGCATATTTGTAGCTTTGGGGAGCCACGGGGTCCTAAGTCCAGCCATGGTGACGGCTATCTGGAACAAAGGCCTCGCCCCTGGGCCCACCTGGCTTTTATTCAGTCATGAATGAGGAATGCCATAAGGATGAATGACTGAGGATGGCAGGAAGGAGGTGAGTACTGTGAGCTGGGCTAGGTAGGAGGCCTGCATTCACCTTTGACATATGCAGAACGAAGGATATACAAGAGAGTAATCTGAATTACACAATCGAGATAGTATCTAATGTTTTGGGGTTGGTGCTTCAGCTCTGATGTGTAGTCTTTCAAGCCCCTGGAAGTCACAGCCTCTATATCTCGAAGCTTGATCCCAGCTAACAATGTGGAACATTGGCTCTTCATCCCATCTCAACCCAGCTCATACTAGAGAACGGCAGGTGGGAGTTCCAGGGAAACACACCTGCCATCTTCAAAGACTACTACTAGCACCTTGACTGGACTGATATGCACTACTTAAAGCCAACTGAAAGGATAAGGAAAAGCCCTAGCCAGCTCTGTACTTATCAATACATGGAAATAGGATCAGGCACAACCAAAATGGAAAAAACTGCCCTTCTTTCAAGGAAAGCTCCCCAGGTGGTCCTCCACAGCAGAAATTTATTTTTTAGTATGGTAAAGGTTTAGAAATGAGCAGAAGTTATTCAAAAATCACTCCAGCTTGGCAAAACACCTCACTTTGGAGCTGAAAGACAGCAGAGATTACTCTCGTTGAACACTAACAGAATCTACCAAGTAGTACATTCTGGGAAGGACCTGGCATCCCCCCAAGCAGCCCTTAAGCCTGGAAGACTCCCATTCCAAAAGACTGAGGAGGATACAGGAGGACCCTGGACACCATTATCTCAGCTCTCTGGTTACTAGACCAAAGGGAAAGCTGAGGTAATTACGAAGAGGAAGAGACTTGCTATGGATCACCCTGATCATTAGTGGCTTCATCAGAACTGAAACCTACTTCCAACTTTTATTTATTTTTATTTTATTTATTTATTTTTATTTTATTTATTTATTTTTATTTTTTGGTGGAACCGGGGATTGAACTCAGGCCCTTACACCTGCCAGGGAAGTGCTTATTCCACTGAGCCATCTCCCCGGACCCTTTCCAACTTTTAGACTGAGATTCTCTTGACCACCTTACATTGTTCCTGCATGTCTTCCAGTTCTTTGGGGTCAATAATTAGGAGACAGTCTTCACACATAGCAGCTAGCTCTTTCATTTTCTGAGTTTAATAAATGTATTGCTTTCTTATGTCCTTGTCTGACAGCCTGTGAGGCAATGCCTCAGGACATTTTTCTTTGTGAATTGGAAGATATGGTGGCCTATGAAATCAATCCTAATGTGAAAAACTTCTTTAACATTAGGGCACTTATTGAATTCTTATAGGGCAAGAAGGAGCTGAGGAAAATATGATTCTAGAGCATTTACCTTGAGTATTTAGAGTATTTAGTTATCAATAATTATGCAGTGAGCTTAGATTAAATTGACAGCTATATGAAGTCTCCCTGGAAAACAGGTACATCACAAGAGATTAAAGATAGAAGAAGTGGGAGAACAGAAGAGAACTTATGTCAGTCTTCTCTGTAACTGTGGCAAAATATCTGAAATAATACATTTATAAAGAGAAAAGTTTTATTTTGTCTCAAATTTCAGTTGCTTGGCTCTGTTGCCTTTGGGCTTGTGGTGGAGAGACCTTTACCCACTACAGTGTAACAGGAGGAACAATTCTGGAATTGTTCTGGAACAATCTGCTCACCTCATGGTAGCCAGGAAGCAAAGCGGGGAAGAGGAGGAACCCGCATCTCAAAATCTTCTTCAAGGGCATGCCCTCACACACGAGAAGAACAAACTTCCAGCAGGACCACACCTCCTACCTCTACCTCCTGAGGGGCAGTGGGCTAGGAACTGAACATTTCACACAAAGGCCTTTGGGCACACTCTTTTCATCCATATAAGCTCACCTAAGATACTTAGAGGAGTAAGAACTTCAAACTGCAAAATAAAAATAAGGTATGTGAGGAGGGAGATGGGGAAAAAAGAGGAAAGGGAGAAGAGACAAAGAAGGTAGAAAACAGATATGAAGCAGTAGCCTTCCCACCAGCCTCTGCTTATGGCCTCCTAGGTCCTATCCAGTGTGCTGCATTCCTCCAGACTGGGCTGGAGTTTGAGCCCTGGATGCTCTTAAAAAGTCTCTGGTGGGGGCCAGGGAGATGGCTCAGTAGAATAAGTGCTTGCCTGGCAAGTGCAGGGGCCTGAGTTCAATCCCCGGTTCCACCAAAAAATAAAAATAAACAAAAAAAAACTTTACAAATAAATAAAATTAAAAAAAAAAAGGGGGAGCTGGTGAGACGGCTCAGTGGTCTAAAGCACCTACTTAGAACAAGCTTAGCAAGGCTCAGGGACCACTGTTCAATCCCCCAGCACCACATGCCAGCCAGCCCCGCCCCCTGGTGGGCTGAGCTGGCCACACACACACACACACACACACAAATAAATAAATTTTTTTTTAAAAAAAAAAAGTCTCTGGTGACTCCCTCCAGCTGCCATATTGAGTTTCAGCTCATTGGCCTCCCTCTCAAGTACCTATACTCTTGATCCAAGTCATCCTCTCCTCCCCAGGCCAGAGTGCACTATGTTTATGCCTCTCCTCGGACACACATCCACACAATTTCCTTCAACCGTCCCCTTTCACAGCCAATACTCCCTAAAATATAAAGT